TATTATCATTATCATTATCATTATTATCAATATCATTGTTATCAATATTTTGTTCCTTAGTCATTCCTAACCTGTGAATATACAATATACTAACTTAAAACTCATTAGATACTTATCCTAACAAACATTTAAAAATTATTCGCAACCAAGTCGTTTTCTTGCCATAAGTCCTGTAACATAATTTCATCTTGACTTTCTCTCATCTTAAACTGTGTATATTCTAGTTTACCCTTAAAATGGTATCATCATTACACTTATCACTCTATTGTATCTACCATTCATATCATCAGTTGCTTTCATTGCAACTCTTACACATATAAGGAATTAATCAAAGCTTTTATTTTTTTTTTTTTTTTTCAACATTTTTATTTGGAATGCAGTATAACAACATTTGTAAGTCGGCTTCATGACATTTACCATCAGCAAAATTTGATTATCTAGTCTGTGCCTACTGAAGTCCAATTGTTACAGGACTGCCATATAAAATCAATACGAATATAAATTGCAAACAAAAATCATTATATATCATTAGTATGTGTTAATAATACTTTAAAAAGCAGGTTGTGATTAGAATCTTCCATTATATTCTTAAAAACAGACATTCACATGTTAAGATTTGTCAAAAAATAACAATCTGAGTTTACATATACTTTAATATAATTTGATCAATTAACAATTCATCCCACTTTTGACAGTTTTTGCTCAGAGGGTATTTATGCAGATTGGTTTGATTCTGGGGCAGATTTTTTTCTTTTTCGTTTTTTTTCTTTTAAACATTGCAAATCAAATTTGATAAATTGCACATCCACAAAGAGAGAAAGAAAAGAAGAAAAATATAATCATAGATTCATATCTTCATAAACTGCACATTGCCCACAAAAGAAAAGCACAATCACATATCAAAATACTTGATAATCAAAAATTAATAACAAAGAAATAAACATTGAAAAAAAAAACATCGGATAAACATATCCAAGAGGTAATTGTAACAGGAAAATTCCAGTCCTGACAGTCATTATTAACAACACAAATTGCACAAATATTTCATGAATTCAGTACCACACAGTTACAGCTATTCCCGATTTATACAACAGTATGAATGGACATCTGAAATCACATGCATATGAGATGATAACAATGAAACCCTAAGCATACATCATATATTACTCTTCTAGTATGAGCAGTGATTAACTAGTACATTGTGACATCATCATACCTGCCTAAGATGCAATTTCTATGAGGATAAAGAAAATATTTCTAAATGCAGCTCTCGTGAACATGACATGGGTGCTTATTGTTATTCTTCAACAAATATGACAAATCTTGAGCCAGTCTTGAATACTGGCCAATCTGGACTAGCCTCTGGGGGTGAGGTTCTTTCCCAATTTTAACCTAAAACTGACCATCACATCACCTTGCCAACTGAGGTAGGACCAGAGACAGACACTTGGACAAGATATAGGGATTAACCCATTAACGCCGGTACATTTTGAAGCCGAAAATAAAAGATTCCGGGTGGCTACAAAATCGCCTGCTGCTGCGTCAGAGCGCGAGCCCCAATACACTGGCGGGACGCCCAGCAATGTCTAATATGTGGGACACCCATCGTTAGTGGGTTATGA